TGCGAGGCCCGGGGGAGCTGTGATATGGAGAGATGACCCTCTGGCCATTCCTATCTCGACTACATCGTCATCATCCAAAGGTGTGCGGACGTTGAGGGTTGAGACTGGGGACGAAGGAGCATTGGCCGCTGTTGACATTGAGCCGCAATACCAAGGGGCGAGGTGGTTGTCAGTGCAAGAGCTAGAGGACTCCTGGGGTGACCAACAGGGGTGTCTACAAGAGCAGCTTTTGGGGTGCATCAACCAAGTGCCGACCACGGAGGAGCAGGGGGCGGTGCAGGGTGAGTTGGTGAATCACCTTCTGGGCTGGCGCGATGAAGTTGAAGGCCAGTTGATGGAGTTGAGTCGGGTGGCAAGGGCCCTACAGATCCGACTATGTGCTCTTCAAGCTCAAGGTCAACAAGGTGGAGAAGGTGAACAGGTCCTGCAGACCATGACCGTCCCGCTCTCGGAGGTGCGGGAGAATGCGGACGCATGGAGGCCTTCGTTCCAGTATGAGTACGACGTGCTGGTCAAGGAGACTGAGGCGGTGGTCCCCACGAAGAGGCATTTGTTGGCGCCGGGCACGGAGCTGGTTCCGGGGAAGATGGTCTGTTGCAAGAAAGGGGGCACAGGGGCTAAGAGATCGAGGGCGGTGATCTGCGGCAACCTGGCTTCGGAGCAAGCGGATCCACCTCCTGGAGGTTTGCCTGGTGGCTCCTACGCAAGTGGGGCGGATGGGGTGCTCATTCGGGCATCGCTGTTGGAGGCCAGCCAACGTCGTTGGGAGATCACTTCGTTGGACGTGAAGTCCGCGTTTCTGCAAGCTCCTCGACCACATCAACCAGGTGGCAAGCCCGTGGCAGTTCAGCCGCCGAAGGTGATGGTGGACCTGGGAGTCTGTGAACCGGATGAGGTCTGGCTCATCAGAAAAGCACTCTACGGGTTCAATACGAGTCCATCGTATTGGGCGATCTACAGGGATCAGGTCCTGGAGGAGCTGGCGTGGGAGGACAACAACGTCGCCTACCACCTGATCCAGACCAAGGAGCGCAACTTGTGGCGCATTGTGGAGAAGGAGACGCAGGTGGTCAGAGGCCTTCTATTGGTGTATGTCGACGACCTCCTCGTGATGGGAGATGCAGTGGCACGACCTGGTCTTCTTAAGTGCATCCAGTCCCGGTGGAAAACGTCCACGCCCGAGACGGTGGATGACCAGGGTTGGGTGAGGTTTTGTGGGTACGAGCTCAAAAGCCATGAAGGAGGTTTGTTGTTAGGTCAACCCTCCTACCTGGGTGAGTTGCTGCAGAGGCACAACATCGTGGACAAGAAGACGGTCCCGCTGCCAAAGGACGCTGTACCTCCTCCAGAGGTAGAAGAAGGGGTGACGGCGGAGGAGATCAAGAAGGCGCAGGGCATCGTGGGGGAGATCCTGTGGGTGGCCATTCGCAGTCGGCCTGACCTGTCCTATGCCATCAGCGCTATGGGAAAAGAGGTCACAAAACGGCCGAGATGGGTGCTTCGGGTGGGACAACATGTTCTGGAGTACTTGAATGGCACGATGGACTACTTCCTGCACTATGTTCCCTGTGGACCTGGTGATCGTGGACCTCATGGTGATCTTCCTCTGGAGCGCTCTACATCGTTGGTGGAGCTCTTCAGTGACATTTCGTATGCCCCGCAAGGGGAGAAAAGTGTGCAAGGCATCGTGGCGATGATTGCAGGCGCCACGGTGCAGTGGGAAACGTCCAGGCAATCGTGCCTGGCATTGTCAACGGCGGAAGCGGAGCTGTACTCCTACGTGGAGGCCTTAACTATGGGGGATTCGCTGCAGGCGCTGTGGACGGAGGTGCATGGAGAGACGCCGGAGATCGTCACCTATGGCGACAGTCAGGCGGCCATCTCCATCGTGCGCAATCCGGATGGTCCATGGCGTACCAGACACCTTCGACTCCGAGCTAACGTGCTTCGAGAACGAGCTCAACAGGGGCGATGGAAGATCTTCCACATGGCGGGCACGCAGCTGATCGCCGACTACTTGACCAAGAGCATCACGGTTCGAGCTTCCTGGGACCGCTTCCGGGCGTTCACCAACCTCCTGAAGGTCGAGAACCTGGGTGGGGTGGCTGCGGATGATGGGGAGGGTTCGCAGGACGCGGTGGAATCCATGGTGCGGGTGGCGAAGCTTGCTGCATGTTTGGCTGGGTGCGCGGCTATATATGACCTGGCCTTCCTACACTGCAAAGGCGGCGGTGGCAGCGGCGCTTGCGATTGGGCTGGCCTATGAAGTGAGCCGGGGTTTTAGCAGGGGTTTTTGGACGAGGGACCAAGATCCGGGGGAGTGTTCAAACATGTCAGATAGGGAAATTCAACAAGAATTGAGATCTACTGAACACTCTACCCGGTTGCAACCTCGTTTGTGTGCCCTGCGGCAATCGCCGGCAAGGGAAGAACAAGACCAACAGGGGTCAGAACAACGGACCCGTCAAGAAAACATAAGAAATGTTCAAGAGGCCAGAAACTCATCGGCGTCGGGCCGCACGCCACCTCCAGGGGAACGTGTCTCGGAAACTGAAGGCCCTGGGGGTTTAGACCGTAGCCTAGAGGCTCCCAACTCCACTGTGTTCGAGGTGGAGGCGGCGAACGCGAGCCATGGCGTGTGGGGGCGCATCCAGATGAGGCTGCCTGCTGTCTTCCGAGGTGGACGCGAATGGCTTGGAGGAGATGCAGGGCAGCCGGAAGAGGTGCACTACACGAACAGCAGGGTGACGCAAGAGGCTATGGACGAGGGCACCTACGACATGACCGGACCGCCGATGGTGGTCACCAGTGAGGGCATCCGGATGTTGCGGCCTGAAGAGGTGGACCTGGAGACCCAGACGATTCGCCTCATCCCAAATGAGCGGCTGGTGGTGAAGTCTCCGCCACATGCAAAGCGGCCTCCGGTGCCCCCTCCTAAACAACCTCCTGTACCATTTCAACCGCGTGGCTATGGGGGGGGCTACATCGAGTGGTTCTTCAAGGCAGAGTGAAGCTGCTGAGCGAGGGCAGGCGGCGATGGCATCTTCAAAGGCGATGGGGACTGCCATGGGGCACACTTCAAAGGCTGCGGGAACCACTCTCCAAGGGGTTTCTAAGTCGGCCGCGGCGGCGAGGAGTTCGAGCTCGACGGGACCTCCTACGCTGGAGCGAATGTGGCAGCCGGCAACTGACAGGCCGTGGAACAGGCCTGGGAAGGCTCCACCGGCGCAGCTTTTGATGCCGGTTGGGGGCATGATGGATGATCAGCTGGAGTTCCAGAACTCGGTATTTTGGACGCCTGAGATCTTGAACCACGTGCAGGACCTCCTGGAAGAAGAAGCGTTGTTCTACAAACCAACGCTCAAAAGTGACAGGTGGGATCACCTGACTATGGATGGCTGCAGGTGGCTAGTTCGCTACCATGGAAGTGCTCGTGTGCAACGCTTTCATCCCGAGCACCGCAGCTGCCCTGAGGAGATCGACAACCTCGAGTTCATGAGGATCACGGCGGCATGGAAAGGCACCGAATGGCATCGACGTGTGGACATCGACAGCGATTGGCGCAGAGCTGAGCTGCCTGGACCGGGCAGCTGGGTGGGATTTTCTCTGTTCTTGATCCGAAATGGATCACGCCAGATGTGACAACATCTGAAGCTTTCGTCCTGAGAAGGACGGGGGGAGTGCGGATCTTGAAACAGGACGCACAAAACGAGAAGTGTACAACTAGGTACACCAAACCAGGCTTAACTGCCTTCGTGTTTGGCTCAAGAAAACAAAGACCGCTTTTCGTGAAGCATGGAATCAATTGTGATTGCATTTGAGACACCACCATGTGTCAAATGTGGTCCAAGGCCGACACGCAGAACGCGCAGTTTGAACAAGGTGGAGCAGCCGGATGTACTTTTAGGACCGAATTACAGTAAGCAACAGCAATGGCAGCACATCAATGACCTTCGAACAAGTGTGTGGCTTTTACGCTGGGCAAAGCCTCTCATTCCAGGTGCTCCATTGAAGTAGAATCACTTCAAGGGTAAGCTGCGGTGGAGTCTGAGGAATCTGAGGATGAGCTGGTACAATGTACGAGCTCACATGATGAAACCATGTTGTGGATGATGTGGATGATCCAAACCTGCTAGTGCGAGGAAAGAAGCCAGTCAGCTAGCAACACAGTCAGGATTCTCAGGATAGTCCGCCCAAAAAGCAGACACCGCAAAGTTGCTAGAGCTCAACTGGAATGGCCCCTTTGTTCAACTGGAATGCCCTCGAATGCAATGAAGAAACATTGAACAAATGCCGTGCCACGCCCATGCAGTGCATGTGCACGCAATGGAATATGTATATATACGTATATATTTATGTATTCCAACATGATATCTTGCACCATAGCCATTGGTGTGTGTTCTATTTTCCACAGCATGCACGCTCACAATATGTCAATATGCCCGTACATACTGTGCATAGGCACATGTGATCTACTGTTGCATGGTTTTGGACATGATCGAACCTATGGGGCTCGTTGGATTTGGGCGATACGCCTTGGGGGCCGGTTGTGTGGTTTCCACTCTCAAAATTCAGCCATGAGGCGTTCAAAACTTGGCCAGCCGCGAGATTCCTTCGGCAAAGCTGCCAATGTGGGAGGTGGTCACGCAAAATATGCGTCTATAGTCTACATATGTCTACATTAACAATAGCAATCGCACATCGCAATACATAAATGCAAGGGTCCCTCACATGAACAGCTTCTTGTCCTTCTACCTTTCATTCCTAAAAGTATTCGTCCCTTTCGTTGTTGGCTAGCCTGCCATCATCTGAAGTTAGCTAAGCTTCATAAGGGAGTACAGGTACCGTTGACGTTGCACCAGACGTCCCTATACAAAGATCTTCCGGCAAGTCACCTCAGTATCCAGTTTCAAGAGCAAAAGGTCTATGTCATGAGTCGAGATGTCAACATATGTCAACCCCTTATATATGCATGCGCTGGAACTGGCAAGCATGAGGAACTAGGAACTAAGTCTCAAAAGGGTATTACTACTAGTAACAAGGGCATCGCTAATTACTAGTAACAAGGGTATTACTTCTAGTGTCCAACCAAGTGTCTTGCACCGCCCTGTCCAGAACCTGCGAAACCAAGCCAAGGAGCAAGTCTCTGGAGTTGAAGTCAAAATCCACACCTTCACTACGCAAACTTGAGACCAATGTTCACGCTGTCATGCACTTGAAGTGATAGAGCCAAAAATGCCAAACAAGGGTCCTACGAGTACTACTACATATAAAGGACTTGGTAGGCTTTGTAGTAGATGTTTCATTGTCTATTCGTGCAGTGTCCTTGATTGATTTGAATTTCTGGTAAAGACAATAGACATGGCTCCTGCACTCTCACACTCTGCACCTCTCAGGCAAGGAATCTTCACACGGCAGAAATCAAAGGGTACTTGTTCCGGCCTGCGTCCTTTTGTGTGCATACCAAATGGCAACATTCTTCAGACTTTCTTCAAAGGCCTCATTGCAGGAAGGTTGTGGACGCCACAGCTGGTCAAGCATCCAATCTACATTGATCTATACATTTGCCTGTTCTGTCCACAGCACATTGCATGTCTGAAACACCCCTACCTTTGCTTCAGCAATGGATCGCGGTTCCTGGAAAAGGCTGCAATAGTCCAGGAAAATGGCCAAGTCCACCTCACCAACAGTGCCTCGGTCTGCCACCCCTTTGTCAGCGTCCAGGGCGACGTGTTGCCAACGAATTCATTCAACGACCAAATAACCATGCCAAAGCTACTCAAACTCCCGATTTCCACCCAACAGCTTTGAGCGTCTTGAAGTGAGTGGATGACAACCCTGTAAGGTGCATTGGGTAACATTGTGTTTGTGCAAGCTTCAGCCACTCGAAAGCCATCAAACAGTCTCCATGGGAAGCATCATGGTGCAGAATGCACGGGCCTTGGCGGCCAAGGGGCTCAAATCTGCCAGGCAGCTGCTCACCAAAGCACTGATTGCCTGCAAGTGAGTGCCATGAGGATCTGGATGTTCTGCACGATGCCTCCAGTGTTGAAGACGTCTTGAACAATTCGGCAGATTGCAAGAAGGCTTCTGGGCTCAATGTTGGACAGAAGAAAGCTGTTCCTGAAAGGAAAAGCCGTGCAAAGTGGCAACGCAAGAACACGTTTGATGCAGCCACGCAGCCAGCAGTACCTCAGGTACCAACAAAGCGCAACGGAGTACACCCAGTAGGCATGTCTTAGCCAAGTGCCTTGCAAGTCTCAAGTCGAAGCCAAGACCGTGCTGCCATGGTGCGAGATCGCCACCACCTTTGTTGGAGACAAGTGCCGGCCTTGGTCATATTCCTCGGAGTCTCGTTGCAGATCTTCCACGTCCTCGCAGCACCGAAATGAAACAGTGGACAAATCGATTCCGGATCTCTAGAAACAGGTCAAACGTTCGACAGGCGGGCTCAAACAAATCGCACTGCCCAGTCCCAAATTGCTTCTGCAGGAAGATCTTGCCGTTTAGGTAGTCGTCCGTTAGCAGCAGCCAACTTGCATAGCCAGGTGCCTCCCATAAAGCACCAAATTCACGCTTGTGAGTGGAACTTTGTGCTTGTAAGATCTTGGAGTGCATTGTGGTCGATCCTTTCCGACTGATAAATCTGATAGCCACCATGTTTGCCACCTAAGAATCTTTAAGCTTGACCTTCTCGCATGGTTGACAACATTCAATGACAACCACACAGAACCAACAAGTCACCAAGTACAATTCCAAACAAAGTAGTCATGACTCGTTCTCAGAAAAATGGCCATGAGCGCCTCGAAGCAGCACAACCGGTGCCTCACCTTCTCCTTGGGGATGGCAAAGCCAAAAGCGCAGGACAATAAGTGTGCCTTGACCAAAATCCTTCGTGCTGAGCAGCTAGACAGGTTGGAGCTTTTGCGAAAATTTCTTATGGCATGCTCAAGCATTCAGTGCACTCTGTGCCTCTGCGCCTTCCCCTATATTACTGCCCACGAACTGATTTCAGCCAAGAAACCTATCTTTTTCAGTGGTTCCCACCTGCGATGGGCTGAGACTCAAGATTGTCCGGCTGAGGTGCAACTGATGTTGTTTGGGGCATGTGTGCCTTAGTCATGCCAAATTTCCCACCAGCTATGGGCAAAAGTTCCCCCCTGCTTAGACACAGTGCGGCTTGTCTCGTTTCCACAATTCTTGTGTATGACTGACATGCTGCATGGACATGCATGGACATTATCAGCTGCGTCCATCAATTTACATGCACTGTCTCCTCAATCAGAATGGACCCAATTGCCTGGTGCACACCGTTCGAATTATCACATTTCATAGTACAGTACTTATATATACATGTATATTAAATGATTGAAGGATGTCCATTTCTGATTTTGTTTGACCCCTCTCCGTTGTTGGTTGCCTTTTACAGCTGAAACACCTGTCACCTGAGGGTCCGGCAAGCTGCCCACTTCGCTGTATTTCATCTGCGACGGGTGTAACGCGGTGAACCACTGACCTGGGGCCTTCGTTCCTTCGTTGACCTGAGACACTTCCTGAAATCGATATCTCATGAGGCCTTTGGTAGAAACAAAGCACACAAACTAGCACAGCACCGTGCTTTTTGTTGGGGGAATGTCATTGTTATACATCCCTCCGGAGAACCTAAACTTACGTACCTACCAACCCGTTTTCAATCGTTTCTATATTCTCACGGACGGATGAACAAAATAGCATGTAATAGCACACTTTAACCCCTGAAAGATGGCTATGCTTGGGGCAACGTCAGGTTGTGCCAGGATTCTGAAAATTTCCTGTTTAGCCAGCAAAAGAGAAAAAGACCGCAAACACAACTCATCGTTCAAAAATTGATGATCATGATGGGGAACCATCACAAACAGGTGAAAGCGGGAAGAGCAAACGAGCAAACCTGCAACATGTAGCACAGGCGGATTCTGAGTCTTATGCTTCACCTGAGTGCCGCCCAGACACCAGCTTCTTCACAGCCATCCGGGGCTCCTGGAAATCCCGATCCTCAGAACTTTGAGAAGGTGCGATCAATTACCAGCTGGGCCAGGGAATGCACGCCTGCTGTGTGCCAATGTGGGTCCTGTATTGGCCTATATTGGCAGCATCGCTTACACCACATGATTGATACAATATTTGTCAATATCTCCGGAAAGATTTGGCCAAGAGCTCCAGAGCAAGGCCGAAGCTACCCAATCAGACAAGCCTCTGGTAGCCCATGCTTCTCAGCATCTTTGATCACCTGCATGTGGTGCTGATTCAAAACAGGTCCCGCTTGTTGACATTCACTGCATTGACCATATATGAATGATCATATGTCATCATTATGACTTGGTATATATATATATATATAACTATATAATATATATATATATATGTGCGTGTACTGTAGTGGTTCAATGCTGATCATGGGTCCCTTTTTCAACCCCCCTTGAACCCGATCACGATGACTCTTGACTCCAAAACTTGCCTCTCTGATGCCGAGCAGGTCTTGATTGTCAATCGTCTCACGAAAACGCGCTAGGAGTTCATCACGTCGCTCCTGAATTGAAGTGGGGTTGGCAAAGTATATGGCAAAGCATTTCTATTGTAATGCTATAGTTACTATAGCCAACTATAACTGTACACCCCTCGGTGATCCCTCTCTTATCCTCGCTGGTCTTAATTGACTGAATGAGGAACCGATGCGCTAGCTACAGGCACCCACATTGTCACACATTCCGATGAGTGCGGTCCAGCCAAACTCGAAGCCGCGGATTCAGTAAATCTCTGGAACAGCCATTGAGAGCTGCTTGAAGTGTGAAGTGCGGATCCTGACCTTACTGGAAGTCAAAATCTGTACTCTGGAGCTGTATGCGTTGAATGACCTGCGCATTTCTGAGGAGTCTGAGGGCAACTCGTAGCTCAGGAGCAATATAGAGAATGGACTCGCTGCTGCACTTCACACACTCCAACCTGCAAATTGTGGTCTCCCCTTGGAGTGGCACATGTACAAATCCCTCTTTCTATTGTTTAGTCCGATCTTTTCCTCAGATGAGCATGTGGATTCCAGAAACGAGCAAAACACTAATTAGCTACACTACTTTTGGCTGCCACGGTATGAAACATCGTGTAAGACCCCACGACTTTGGTCCACAAAATGTGGCAGCAAAGCAACGCAAAGTCTGGATCTGATCGAAGATTTGAAGCAGCGTAGCGTAAGGCATGGCCGTCTTGAGCCACGGCCTCAAGTAGCTGTGCGCATGGCAATGGAAGACTCACGAACAAAGCAAGACGGACATGCTGGACTGAGCTCGTGGCTGCAAGCACAACCTGAACGGGAAACACTCTGAGACTCTTAGGTGAAAGGCCGGTTTGGCAGCAAAACACCGTCAACACATTCTGTGCGACAGCATGTGCGGGTCAGGCAAAGTTGCAAACCTCTGTGCTACCTATAAGCTCTACTCTGACCCGCTCTCACCGGAGAGCAAAGCAAAGCTGAAGGCCTTCTCGTCCGCACAAAGCTCTTCTGCTGCGTGCCTAGGCAGCAATGAGTGACTAGGCGGTGAGTCCCCCACGTAATGATCACCAGAAGCGATCGGCAATGCAAATCACAAGTTGCAAGGGCCAAATGGCAAACTGAAGCAGAAAGTTCTGGACCACTACAAGCTCTAGCACCGTAGATTTAGGCAAGCTTCATCAAGCAAGCACCATCTTTGGCAACCTGAGCTTCAGAAAATGGCCTGAACACCTGCACTGCAATCCAGAAACTGCTTTGAACTACTCAAAAAATAGATGTTGCAAGGGCAGCAATGTGAGTGTCACCCTTTTTTTACCGCCAGGATCTGCATCTGCATCATATTGAAAGAGTGCTTATATGACATGTTGGATGTGGCGTTCCCTTCGGTCGATTGACCAATGTCTATTTGTGCAAAGCATACGTGTGGTGAAATTTGGATTAAACATGATTTCAGTACCACCTGTTGTGAGGGTCGAGGTGACACGACAATCTGTAGCCCAAGTGCAAAAGTCCCCCTTTGGCCTTTGGCTCATTGCTGCAAAGCCCAATCAACCCACTGCAACTGCAAGGAACAGCCCGAAGGAAGAAATCTGCATCACGTCGGATCTCCTGGTAGTTTACAGTATTTGGATTACATGAAGCTAGTCCTAAGAGGGTCAATTGTCATTGCTCCAGTGAACAGTCTGTCCCCTTCAGCGGCGAAATCTCTTGGCCCAAGGACTGCTTTTCTGCTACAGGTTGCCAGTCTTAGCTTTTCCATTTCCTACCACTTCACAGTCATTGGTCATTTCAGCTGATGAGTCCTGAGAAGCATGAACCAAAGCCCAAGACCCTTGCTCACTGATTCCTGGAGAAAAAATGGCAGTCCAACAAAGCAGGATCCAGAACATCTTTCCAGCGTTGATTCACAGCGTTACAGCATGCTTGCCTCATCTTGACCACTCACTTGTTTGGAAATACAAGGACAGCTTTTACCGGTGTTGAATTCTCGGCATCAAAACTTCAAATCACAGTTTCAAGTGAATTACCTGCTACAGCCCCCTTCCACTTCCACCTTCTTGACTAGACTCACGGCTGGACATTTTGAAGCACGAACAAGGCCCAAGGCCATTCATTTCGACCTAGTTAAGTACGCAGCCACATGTCAAGGCCTGCAAGAAGTTGCTCCGAGTGCGGAAGGGATGCGGACTTCACACCGCCAAAGTGTGTCATCTTGGAAGACCTGGAAGTCAGGGGCTTGAAGGGCCAGCCACACCTACCACTGCCAAAAACTTGTTCATACAACACAGCTGTACTGGCTGCACCGTTGTTCAACGCAAAGGCACTGAACATCCCAGGACTCCAGGATTAATTAGTGAGTTTTCACCATGACATCTGTGGATTCTCCTGACACATAGAGTTTGGACACTTGATTCAAGTCCTGATTGATTAAAGTGACCTTTGAGGCAAGGGCACGTCAAAGCGATGCTTCACGAAGCCGCCATGAAATAGGCACGTGCATTTCGCGCCGCTAGGTCTTGCACGCTGTGGCACATCCCCAGCTACCAACAAGCTTCCTTTGGCCAAAACCAACACGCAAATGCAAGCAGCTTGGCGGCGAGTGTGATTCACACACCCTAAAAATAGGACGATGGGTTGCGACATCTTCCATCTGGTATTCTCATAGGGGATTTCTGGTCATCTGATGTCATCTGCAGGTTCCTCGTAAGATCGCATTGTAATATTTGCCAAGCCTCATCCTTTTGAATTGAATTTAATTTCTACGTGAACTATGTCACAATGACCAGTTGAATGACATAATTAACATTATCAAAATATTTAAACATCAAAAGCATGTCGCAATGATTAAATCCTTCTCGTCCCCTATGCTCACCTGGGGGAAGATGTCCAACGACCTTGCTCCTTGGCAAACACATCTTGTTCGGACTGAGATTGCTGTTCATGTGAAGAAGGGTGACCTGCTACTACCAAAGCAAAACGTTTAGCAACATGTGCTGTCGCATGCTGGACATCGAGGTTGAACAGCTGGTAGACACAGACTCAAACCATGCCTATGTCATAAGAACGGGACCCCCCCAAAAGGTCCACGATTCAACAGCTGTGCAATTCAAGCGTGCACTCTTGCAAACTCCAGGAACGATCGGGTATCCGTCTCTCTCTCTCTCTCTAGCTGCATCGCAGGGGCGTCGGGTGCATCTGTTGATGGCCATTGCTTCCTGAGTAGTTTGGATCCATAGATGACACGTTCCCCGTGCGGAGTGCTCAGAAAAACATAAGTTCAACTCATCCTTGCTATTTTTAATATTTGTTCTGCTCGCTGCTCGCTTGGAACAGCAAATGTGTGGTGCTGTGTTTTGCTCAACATTGCTTGTTATTGGATAAAATGTAAACGAATACGTATTAGGCTGCATGACCCAGCTTGCGGTCTAGAGTCCAACTGGACCAGTTGTCTGTGTCTCTCCAGTGCCAGCGACTTTGGCTTTGATCCCAGTCATTCCAGCCTCGCCAAGTGGACTCACCAAGGCATGTTGATAGTCGGCTGGATGTGTTTGTTTTTGAAATATAACTGTCGAGATCAATCGAAGCGCTTGTACAAGAATCCTTTACGCCAGGCAATTTTCAGCAGGACCTGCTCTAACAGGTCGGACATTTAGTGCACAGAGCAACAAACCATTTGATGCTAGCATCAAAAGAACAAAGCACATGACAGGTATGGCCTAGGCGGTGTTTTCGTGCTTTGTTTGATTGCTTCTAGTTTCTTTTTCTTAATGTTTTATCTTGCTTCTTTTGCATGGGTTTCTGGCCGGTGTTCTCTCACATCCTACCTCCCTGCCTCTCTCTTTCTGCAGCACTGTGAGCGTGTGTTTTCTGTTGCATTATCTGCCAATGGGATGAAATTGTGTCCCAAGTCCCATTGTCAACCAAGCTCCTGGCCCCAGCCAAGGCTGCCCCGCCTGCCCTGCTGCGTGGAGCGACAACTGGTGGAAAGGCAACCATGTTTTTAGAACAGTTTATGGAACTCGGCGTTCTCTGAATATATATATATATAATTCATCTTCGATCAAAACTCACCATGCTCTGTACCAGCGCCGTTGACACCCCAGCTCCCAACCTCCAGGGAGCGCTCACTTTTTGGTTCACACGGATGGTGGATGGGAAACTTTGTCCTTGCATCATGTGACAGCTCCAAAAACGATCCTGCTGAGCGGTTTAGGCATGTTTAGGCACCCCCCCAGGAGGGCCAAGGACATCAGTCCAAAGATTATAGCTGAATAACAAAGAACATCTTGCACAAGCATTGAGTATTGGCGTCATATTTCAGCTTGAGCTTAAGCTATCACACGATCATTGCGCAAGGCTGAGATTTCATCTTCACTGAACTGAAGTTTTTCCCTGAGGACCTGCGACAGCTGGATGGACGGCAAGTACATGGCAGTCACAAGCAGTATGCACAACAGTATGTTAACAGTTTGCTCCATTGCTGTACGGCATGGCATATCGGCATATCAGTATCATTAGCCATACGGCATATTGTTAGTGATCAAATCCAGATTCGGATTAGCTGATTAATGTCGACGTAGGATTAATCAACGGCCCCCCTTCAAGGTCAACAAGGTCAACAAGGTTTGAGATTTGAGGTTTTGGAGATCACATCCCCCTAATAAAGCTGATAACCTGATGATGAAAGGGAATTAGTATTTGAAAGAATTGGGCTGAAAGGGAATTAGTAATTGGAAGAATTGAGATGAAAGGGAATTAGTATTTGGAAGAGTTGGGATGAA